ACAGTTTTTGGTCCAGGACAGAAGTCATTGTTAGGGCAATGGGGAGTTATCAAGACTGGGCAATTGGGGCTCTGAGAGAAGACTAAGAGGTGTGGCTAAACCATAGATCATTTGCCTGAAAACATGCATGCATAGGGGAGGTGTATCTAGGCTATCTTAGACTAGTTACTAGAGGGATGATGTGTGGCTGTCATCAGCAGGACCCTAGGAGTGGAGGCTTAGGGATTTCAGACATATTTTTTCTGCTCTGACATGGGAGTAGCTAAAAGGCCCAAATCAACGACTCATGACTGGAGGACATTTGGGCTTGGCTGAAGCATCAGCAAGGTGAGTGAGTAAAGGGTCTCTGGAATTGGAGGCTGTGAACAGACTGACCGGGAACTACAATACTGCGGTGCCGTAAAGAAGGATTCAGGAAAGAGACCGGAACAGAGACCAGAAAGATGGAAGGCTTCCAGGGAAGGGAGCTTTGCAAGAAGCCAAAGCAAGCAGTCAGGAGAGGTGACCCAGTCCCTGGAGACCTGGGAACGTCCCCCCCCCGCCGCTGGCCTCTCCAGATCCCGATCACCCCTACCCCTGCAAGGGAGCGGGTTCTCCAAAGCTGTCAGGAAATCTGGGATGTGAATCTGAACTGCTTGCCCCTTTCTGCTTGGATGAGTGACTAGGGTCCACAGCCTGAGCCTCTTAAAGAAAATGAGTGGCTGGCGCCGTGGCTCAATAGGCTAATTAATCCTCCGCCTGCGGTGCCGGCACACCGGGTTCTAGTCCCGGTCGGTGTGCCAGATTCTGTCCCGGTTGCTCCTCTTCCAGGCCAGCTCTCTGCTGTGGCCCAGGAAGGCAGTGGAGGATGGCCGAAGTCCATCTGTACCTGCATGGGAGACCGGGAGAAGCACCTGGCTCCTGGCTTCCAATCAGCGTGGTGCACCGGCCGCAGCGGCCATTTTGGGGGTGAACCAATGGAAAAGGAAGACCCTTCTCTCTCTCTGTCTAACTCTGCCTGTCAAAAAAAAAAAAAAAAATGAGATCGGAGCAGAAGGGAGGATGGGCAAGAACTGGTGCATGAAGAGAAAACAAGCCAATCATTCTTCGATTACTTAAACAAAGCCTATTTTTTATTCTGATTCCAAAAAGTGGAGGAAATGTCTCTTTGTTACTGCCATCCTCACTCTCACATGCAGTATAAGGGCCAGTGGTTGTGGTGGCCAGAATCCCCTTCATCCAGACACTGGATAAAGCTCTACTCTCAGCCCTGCTCACACAGGAGTCAAGGGGTGCCCTGTGGTCTCACTGCTCAAGTCCTGCCTGTGACCCCTGCACCTACAAGGCCTCCCCCTCAAGTGCACCCTCTGTTAAACATCACTGGCCCGGAGTCACGGGTCAGGAAGGCGAGCCCCTGGCTGAGTGCCAGTCCCTCAGCCCCACTGAGGAATGCACCTCTGCAGGCTGCAGCACTCTTCTCTCCAGCAGCTGGGGTCTTGGTCCTGACAAGGCCATCTGGGCCAAGTGCTACAGGGTCCGCCCATATAGAGTCTCCTTGTGGGTTGTGACACAAAAGCCTCATCCACACTCCCTGCAAAGAGCTCCCCTGAGTAGGCCACCTTGGGCCAGTTCATTCTTCTGACCATGTTCATCAACACTCCCTGAACGCTTGTCCCCCAAGTCCGCCCCTGGATATCTGCTATGGCCTCACCCACAGTCCCCCCACACAAAACCTCTCCCTTACACGTGTCCTCTTGTGTACACTGAGGGTTGACTCAAAGCTAGCTACCCGCACGTGTACACTCACACTCTGTGCCCTTGTCTGAATGTGTCCTGGGAGCCTCTGTGGTTACTCTCACACTCCATGCAAACATAGGGACTATGCACGTGGATCTCACCCACAATCCCTGTGTATACGCATCCTCTGGTGTCTGATGAGATCTGACTTCCGGCTAAATCCTCACCCGCCCTCCCTGCACACGTGACAGTTCTCCCAGTGTCCTCTCAGGCATGGGGACAGCTGACTCTCACAAAAGCCTCACCCACATTCCCCACACACATAAGACTCCTCCCAAGTGTGTATCTTCTGAGGGCTGACTTGTCACTGAAGCCTCGTCCATACTCCGGGCACACACAGGGCTTCTCCCCAGTGTGACCTCTGATGTCTGATGCAGGATGACTTGTCACAGCCTCACCCACACACACTGCAAACAGGAGGCTTCACTCTCAAGAGCGTGCGCTGATGGCTGCCGAGGACTGGCGTCTTCCTACAGCTCTGCCCACACTCCCTGCACAAGCAAGGCTTGTCTTCTGAACGTGTTCTCCGGTGTCTGCTGAGGTTGGACTTCTAGCTGAAGCCTCAGTCACACTCACCACACTCAGATGGTTTCTCCCTCAAGTGTGTGCGATGGTAATTAAGAAGAAGTGACGTTTGGCCAAAGTCACGGCCACACTCACTGCACACAGATGGCTTCTCTAGCGAATGTGTCTGATGGGATCTGAGGAGGGCTGACTTGGCCTTGCCCACAGCTTCTGCAAACATGGGGCTTCTTCCCCAAGAGGGGCCTGCGGTCAGTGATGGAACCTGACTTTAGGCTACAGTCTGGCTCACACCCCCTACAGCTGATTGCCCCAAATCTCAAGGTTTCTAATTCCTTCAGTCCTTTGGCTGCACAGGGCTTGCCTCCTAGGCTGAGTGTGGCTCTGTTCCTCCCACCACGTTGCCTTCTCTGGGCCTTGCTGACTGTCCTTGGAATGGGCTGAAGAATGCTCTTCTTCTCAGTGTTCACACACACAGGGTCTAAGCCACCTGCTCCCTGCAGCCGTGGTCAGCACCCTGCTGCTTCCGATGCCCTGGGAGGAACCCCCTTGGCTGGAAATGATTTTCCGCACACAAGTCCAGGAAGATCTGAAGCAAGTGCTGGCTGAGGAATTTGACAGGAGCAGACCAGCACAGGGGAGCAAGGGCAGACTTCCGGCTTTGGCTCTTCGGAAGAAATAAGTTGTCGGAGGAGTCGTGAGCGGTGCTGCTGGGCCACTGCACCTTGTCTTGGGAGACAGAAATGTCTTACTGCCGCACCTGTAATTGATAATATGTCTCCTGAACAACTTGTTTCCCACCAGAACCCTCTATGTTCCATTTTTACACATTCTATTTTCTACTGCAATCCAGAAAATCTACACCAAAGACATCTTCTATGTCACACTAGGAGAAACTTTCAGGCAGGCACTCCACAAATAGTTTCCATTTGAGTTAGCCTTTTCCTTCTACTAAAATCATTTAAGGGGTCAGCACTGTGGTGCAACAGGTTAAACAGCCACCTGTGATGCTGGCACCCCATATCAGAGTGCTGATTCAAGTTCAGGCTGCTCCACTTCCTAACCAGCTTCCTGCTAATGTTCCTGGGAAGGTGGTAGAAAATGGTCCAAGTACTTGGGCCCCCTGTCAACCATGTGGGAAACCCAGACAGATGGAGTTCCTGACTCCTGACTTCCACCTGGCCCAGCCCTGGCTGTTGTGGCCATCTGGGGAGTGAACCAGCAGATGGGAGCTTTCTCTCAATTCTGCCTTTCAAATTAATTAATTAATCTTTTAAAAAAATCAACTGAGCCATTAATATATGCTGTCCACAATACTTTGCTCTACTTGGCATTAATGGCTCCTGTGACCCATGTGGAAATTTCCCTCATGACTTTTTTTTTTTTTTTTTAATAATTATAAGACAGGGACTGATGGGTGGGTGTTTGGCACAGTGGCTAAGATGCTTGGGGCATCCACATCGCATATCAGGCAGGCTCTGTTGGAGTCCCGGCTCCACTTCTGATTCCAGTTTCCTGCTAATGCACATTTCTGGAGGAAGCAGATGATGGCCCAAGTACGGGGTCCTTGCCACCTGTCTTAGGAGATCTGGATTGAGTTCTGGGCTCTTGGCTTTGACCTGGCTCAGCCCTGGCTGTATTAGGCATTTGGGGAGTGAATCAGCAAATGTAAAATCTCTCTCTCCCTGCTCCTTTCAAATAAATGTAAAAATACATATATTTTTAAAGGGGATTGACAGACATGAAAAGCCACCCAGTCTGGAGGGGGTCCCAGTGTAGGAGACTATGAAACAGTGGTGATAGAGAATGCATATGCAACTCATTTGAACTTCAGAATTTCCGCTTGTAAACAAACTTAGAACGTTTCTCAGAGCCAGGTTCCCAGCTAGGTATAGGGCGTTCAGCAGTGGACAGGGATTCCAGCACCTTGTGCTCCAAACCACTCCAAAATCTGCCCTTTTTTCCGTTTTTTCAAAAATCAGTGCAAAAGAAAAACTTCCCATTGACAGCAGCATCTGCCTAAATATTTTAAGCAAACAAAAAGAAAATATGTGGTTTCTGAAGCCCAACAAACACAACAAATTTGACACAGTGTTAACCTGTGACGCAGAAGGCCTCACCACTGCTCTCCTTGCAAACCTGCTGCAGCCTCACTGGCCTCCTTGCGGTTCCTCATAGGGCAGGCACAGCCCTTCCCTAAGGTCTTCCAATTCCCCTCACTTGGATGCTCTCACTCTAGATACCTAGTGTTTTTGTTTTGTTTTGTTTTGTTTTGACAGGCAGAGTGGACAGTGAGAGAGAGAGAGACAGAGAGAAAGGTCTTCCTTTGCCGTTGGTTCACCCTCCAATGGCCGCCGCGGCCAGCGCGCTGCAGCCGGCGCACCGCGCTGATCCGAAGGCAGGAGCCAGGTACTTCTCCACGTCTCCCATGGGGTGCAGGGCCCAAGCACCTGGGCCATCCTCCACTGCACTCCTGGGCCACAGCAGAGAGCTGGCCTGGAAGAGGGGCAACCGGGACAGAATCTGGCACCCCGACTGGAACTAGAACCCAGTGTGCTGCGCCGCAAGGCAGAGGATTAGCCTAGTGAGCCGCGGCGCCGGCCCTAGTGTTCTTATTATCTTTTTAAAGATTGTAATTATTTGATATTATTTCACACTAGGTGGGCACAAAGCAATCTTCCTTAATAAAGCTGACAATGAGCTTCACTCTGAACATTTTTAATAATGCACATTACAGTATTCACCTTACAAATTTTTCTACAATGCCGATAAACAATAGCTTGGAAAACAATGTTCAGAAAACAAAAGCCAATGTAAAAAGACAGATTAAGACAACTAGCACGTTATGGGCATTACACGGCTTGGATGTTACAGTTTTCTCATCGCAGCGTCAGTGTTAGAAACCTGTTCCTTCAGCTGGCTCCACAGCTTTGGCTTTAAAGAAACGCCATTTCTTCCTGCCTTCATCTCACCTTCTGGGTCCACCCAGTATTCTGGAATATCAGCTAGAACTTTCCCTTTGAAGCCCTGAACACCAATGGACCTCACTTTCCCTGTCTGGCGCTCGCTTTGGCAGCACACAGAACTAAAACTTTCCCTATCTGAAACATGCTCTCCTCTCTGCTGCCGCCGCTCTGTTTGGAAAATGACAGAGCTCCGGACATCTTTTGCGTCTTCACAGGTTTTTCTGGAGCAACGTGCTTTTTCCTCTTTAACTCGTTGTCATCTTCACTGTCAGCATCACTGCCAGATGAAGGAACAAGCTCCTTGGACTTGGGCATTGCTCCGTTCCTGCAGCTGAGCCGTCTCCTACTCGCCTACTTGCTGATACCCAGAGCGCTAAGTCTCTCACCACATTCTGTCTTTGAGCAAGTGTTACTTCCACACTGACTTCAAACACCCCATTGCAACATTCAGCTAGTTGCTCCATTATACCCCATACCCCTTTATCCTGTTTTATCTATTTTTTTCACTATGAGGCAGTTATCACTGTGTAACATATCATACTACAATATGCCAGCACATGAAGCTTTTGTTTGTTGTCTGTCCTCTTATACTAGAAAGCAAGCCCATTTAGGGGACAGGGTTTGCTATTTCATCCTAGGTGTTCAGAACATCTCCTGGTACGTGGTGGTGGTCAGAACATCTCTACCGAATTAATGAGGGAAAGGAAAGAACAGCCTCACCCGAGGAGAGCAGATTCCTGCCACGCTCCAGCATCACTTCTTCATTTGGCTCCATCATCTCAGAGCTCAGCCTCTTCCATCCGGACGCCATGAAGATTACAGCCACATCCCTGGAGATACCAGACCCTGCAAGGAACATACTAGGGTATAGCAGGCCACATTGCCCGGGACAGTCTGCATATGCAAGAGGTTGATCTTTCCAAAGAACATGGTTCTCCACAGCCAGTTCTTCTGGGAGCTGCCACACACCTGGTTTAGAGTAGAAGCCTGTGAGGGGTGTAGCTAATGCAGGAAATACATGTTAGGCCTTTGAACACCTAAGGACTTCCTTGGACAAAAAATTTGTGCACCCATTTGAAAACTTCAAGCAGTGTCCTTCAAGAGTAGCCTTGAGGCCGGCGCCGCAGCTCAATAGGCTAATCCTCCGCCTTGCAGCACTGGCACACCGGGTTCTAGTCCCGGTCGGAGCGCCGGGTTCTGACCCAGTAGCTCCTCTTCCAGTCCAGCTCTCTGCTGTGGCCCGGAAGTGCAGTGGAGGATGGCCCAAGTCCTTGGGCCCTGCACCTGCATGGGAGACCAGGAGAAGCACCTGGCTCCTGGCTTTGGAAGGGAAGGGAAGGGAAGGAACCCTGCCCCTGAGCTATTAAAAAAAAAAAAAAAAAGAGTAACCTTGGAGGGTTTGTAATGGAAGAATTCAGAGATGGAAATTTGAACTGGAGAAGGAAAAGCAATCATGGATGCAGGGCCTGTGCTGGGCGTCAGTGGGTGGTAAAGATTTAGAGGAGACAATGGAGAAAAAAAATAAAAACAAAAAAACAAAACCCTTGATTACCAAGACAAGTTGAGTGAACAGATGGGGTCTGGAAGGTGCATTTTTGAAGAGTCTAGGTCACCAAACGGTAACTGTAAAATCCCTGTTTTGTTTTTTGTTTTTTGTGGACAGGCAGAGTGGACAGTGAGAGAGAGAGAGACAGAGAGAAAGGTCTTCCTTTGCCGTTGGTTCACCCCCCAATGGCTACCGCAGCTGGCGCACTGCAGCCAGCGCATCGCGCTTATCCGAAGCCAGGAGCCAGGTGCTTCTCCTGGTCTCCCATGGGGTGCAGGGCCCAAGCACTTGGGCCATCCTCCACTGCACTCCTGGGCCACAGCAGAGAGCTGGACTGGAAGAGGAGCAACCGGGACTAGAACCCGGTGTGCTAGTGCCGCAGGCGGAGGATTAGCCTACTGAGCTGTGGGCGCCAGCCCCCAAATCCCTGTCTTGGCCTATGTATTTTCACATCCCTTTTCAATGAAGCCCTGGTATTTCATTCATCTACCTAAATGCTTCACCCCTCCTAAGGCAATGCAGGCAAAAAATAGTGTGATCACAGCTCACCACGATTTGGGGCTTTCCTTCTTTTTCTTGGAGCCAGTCAGCATCACTTGAGAGCAAACCTAGAGGAAGACACAGAAGCTGAGAACCAGACTTCCCACGGTGCTCCTCAGTAGTCCTTCTGTGGCTCAGGATGCAGGAAGCAGCCATGCTACTCCACTGTGACCTCCGCATCAGTCTCAGGTGAACCTGCAACCTCGGCTCCCTCTTCTCTCGACTCTCAGCAACTCTCATTTTCTGCCTCAAGGATTTTGAGCCAATTTCCTCATGGTTTCCGTATCTTCACCATTCTTGGAAGGCAAAATCTCCTAGTCCTGCCCTCCCCAGGGCGGGATCAGGTGAGATCATGGCCCCAGAGTCAGCCCAGGGTATGCCTTGATAGTCTGCCAGAGAGTCAGGTAGATGTTCTTTCATCTCCAGATGGATTTCTGCTGCGCGGGGAGGACTCAGGTCCATCTCGTTTCCATGTATGAAGGACCTGTGGGACGGAGAAGCAATGTGACATTGCTAGGGCTGTATGTGGCCCTAAGCCTAGCGTCTTCAGCAGGGGGCCTGTCATCTCACAGCCCCATCCAACAAACAGGGAGTTCTCTGGATCCTCTACCTTCTTTCTTTTCTGACCTGTAGGCCCTCGACGTTGTCCCCTGCCACTCTCCCTTACCTCTCCCAATTTACAGCTTCCTTTCTGATCAATTCAAGGTCACCTCCACTCACTCCAATCAACCAAGGCAAATTAAGGTCCCCCCACTCCCTCCTGCCTCCAGTCGCCACCTGGGACACACCCTGCCCCTCCAAACAAAAACAAGACCCTTGGACTTCACCATCAACCCTAAGTTTCACCACTATTTGGAGATGCAGAAACCCAATAAGCGTTCTCCCTCCCCAAAAATACCCCAGAATACAGAGCCCTTAGCGGGGCCCCCCACTGTCCAGAGAGGATGGCTAAGCCCACAGCCCAAATAAACTTCGCGACACACGATCGGAACCTTCCTCCCCATTGGTTAATTGGCACAGCATAACCTCTTCAAAAGAGACCAGACTCTTGCTTCACACAAGCAGGTTAAGTCCCATGGCCACGCCTGCGGTGTCCAAACAGAAACATCTTGAACATCCGGACCGAGCCCCCCGGCCCCGGCCCTGGTCGCCAGCCACGCTCTATTAGTACTAGCGTTCCAGTACTAGCCTGGCCTTTCCAGACTCTCCCTCCCCCGACAGGAAAGGGCACCCTAGGACCACGGACCTGTGCGGGCCTCGCTCACAGGGCCACCTACACCAGCCCGTCCCGCCATCCGACGCTAACCTACACCAAAGGTCCTCACAGGACCCGGTTCCCAGAGGCCGCCACGGAGCCGCTTCTGGTCCATGCCATTTATCAGCACGATGACGTCTCTTTTCTTAATATACCTGAAAAACACAGCGAGGTGCCTAGGGAAGTCTCAGACCCGAGACCCATTCATCGGAAAGACTACATTCCCCAGAAGGCCTTGGGGCAGCTTCCGCCAAGGCATTTCCGGTCGGCGAGTCCGTCACTGAAGCGCGCCGACTAGTGAGCGTGCTTCCGGCTTGGGTTTTTGTGACTTAGCCTACGTAAATTCTCTGAGCTAAGGCCTTCCTTAGCGTACTAGGTACCTTACCTGAGGACCTTACGAGTTTGACCTCATTCCGCTGGCGCATACCTGTGGTCATTCCCATTTTCCTCTAGGGAGATACAGAGCAAAGCCATTCCCCAGCCCACTTAAGGCCTCACCCTAAGGGTGCTCCCTTGGGTGCCTCGCAGTAGTTTCCTGCTGTGGAAGTCCTCAAAGCCAGCAGCACACCCTCATGCAGTTTCTGGAGGACAGAAGCCTCGCGCGGGCTGGAGCCTGGCTTCCTGCCCTTTATTTACGATGCTGGTTAGGAATTTGCCTACGATGGTGGCTTGTGCAGCTTGCCAATGGGGCTCTGCAAAGCGCGCCTACTACACTTCTTGGAAAAGAGCGGTTAAGTGTAATGGTAAATAAAAAATTGGATTTTCCCTGCTGCTTCCCCTCCCTCCCTTAGCGAATTTCCTTGAGACCTATTTGTAAACCACGTGCCTGGTGGATACGTGTGTAGATCTTTGGAAAGAGGAATGAGTATCTTGTCAGCTTTACAAGTCGGAGTGTTTTCTTAGTGGCAGCAGTAGGGGCGAAGGAGGGGACACAACTCTGAATCTTGTGCCCAGGTCGTTAGATCCCCGCAGAGACCCCTAGAGAGTCATCACACCGAACTGCAAAAGCAAGGTTTATTTGAGAGTACAAGCCGCGACAGGGACCCCATCCAACCAACCCGTGCATCGGAGGAAAGAGTGAGGCCCCGTCTTTGGGAGAGTTTTTAAAGGAAAAAGCCACAGGGTTACATCAGCGGGAGCTTTGGGTACAGGGAGTTACTTTGTTTAACAATCTCTACTGTGCTGTGCTTGGTCTACTGAGCTAGCTGTCCTTGGTAAGCTTTGATGTCTCCAGAATGCCTGAATGTCTGCTTTTACAAGAACTCGGGTCTGCTACGGGAAACAGAGGCTGCTTTATTATTATTATTATTGTTGTTGTTGTTGTTGTTGTTTTAAAATGGAGTCACTTTGGCTCTTCAATCTAAATATTAAGGAAGATTGCCCCATCTCCCTATCATCAGGAACTTAGAGTTAATGCCTGTGGCTACCTGTTTGTAATAGAGATAGATAGAGGTCTTATTTTTCTTTATGGTAAAGGCAATTTAGCACAGATGGCTTCCCTAATTACCCAGTAACCTTAGAATAAACTGAAAAGTTGTGTAGCAAACCATGTCAGGTCTTTTTTCAAGAAGATATTGCCGTTAATCTTGAGAACGTGTGTAATAGATTGTACCTACTCAACTTTGAAAGAAGTGAGAGTTCCTTCTGTCTTAGCAACCTCATAGCAGCTTACCTATGATGTGCTCTGCAGTCTGATTAATGTTCAAAAACAAAACTGGGGCTGGCATTGTGGCTTCAGGATCCCATATCAGAGCGCCAGTTTGAGTTCTACCTGCTCTGTTTCCAGTCCAGCTCCTGGCTAACACACTTGGGAAAGCAGTAGATGGTGGCCCAAGTACATGCGTCCCTGAAAGCCCTGTGGGAGACCTGGATGTAGTTCCTGACTCCTAGCTTCTACTTGGCCCAGCCCTGGATGTTGTGGCCATTTAGGGAGTGAACCAGTGGATGGAGGATTGATCTCACTCTTTCAGCTTCCCTCTCTCTCTGTCACTCTGCCTTTTGAATAAATAAATAAATCTTTTTAAATTGCTTTCTGGCCGGCGCTGCGGCTCACTAGGCTAATCATCCACCTGCGGCGCCTGCACCCTGAGTTCCAGTCCTGGTTGGGGCACCGGATTCTGTCCCGGTTGCCCCTCTTCCAGGCCAGCTCTCTGCTGTGGCCCGGGAATGCAGTGGAGGATGGCCCAAGTGCTTGGGTCCCTGCACCTGCATGGGAGACCGGGAGGAAGCACCCGGCTCCTGACCTCAGATCGGCGCAGTGCCAGCCGTGGCAGCCATTAGGGGAGTGAACCAATGGAAGGAAGACCTTTCTCTCTGTCTCTCTCTCACTAACTCTGCCTGTCAAAAATAAAAATAAAACTGCTTTCTGTCTTTTTTTTTTTTTTTTTTTGACAGGCAGAGTGGACAGTGAGAGAGAGAGACAGAGAGAAAGGTCTTCCTTTGCCGTTGGTTCACCCCCCAATGGCCGCCGCAGCTGGCGCACTGCGGCCGGCGCACTGTGCTGATCCGATGGCAGGAACCGGGACAGAATCCGGTACCCCAACCGGGACTAGAACCCGGTGTGCCGGCGCCACAAGGTGGAGGATTAGCCTAGTGAGCCGCGGCGCTGGCTATCTTTTTTACTTTTGCAAAGAGGATTTTCCAGGTTGTCAGGAAATCTTACCTTCATTTCCTTTTCATGCCATCCTTCTTTCTGTCTTTCTTCTCTTCACCGCCCCTGTATTAGCTTTCTGAGACTTCTCTGTTCTTGAGTATTATGGAGACAGAGAAAAAGGCCCCAAGGCTACTGTGAGCCAGGATGATACAGGTCAGCTGAGGACCCCTGAGTGGAGCTCCGCCTCCCCCCCAAGTCCCACCACAGCGTCCAGAGGGTCCTTGACTTCAGTGAGAGACGGAAGTCGATCTCAATCCAGAAAAGTGAAAGGAAGGTGGTCTTATTAAAGAGAGCAGCACAGAGCAGACCACTCCACAGACAGTGCAGCTCATCGTATTGTTGCAGTTCTACCTTTAAGGGGTTTAAGAAATGTGTATTAATATTTGGCTGGAATATTCATCTTATTTCTGGGAAAGAGGTGGTGACTTCCAGAAATGAATAACCCCATATCATTTTTCTCTCCTTGTATGATCACATCCATAGGTTGCCATAACCATTGTAAATTGTCATGGTGTGAGTAGTGGTTGATTTTTACTATCTGAATGGATATAATGAGACTGTTAATCTGGATGCCATATTGGACCCAACTGGTTTGAACTAGTTCCTTCACCTGAATCTTGATCTTTAGTTTTGTTTGTTTGTTTGTTTGTTTTTTAGTCTACTCTCTGATGGGTGGAGCTAAGGCTTGCCACATACTATTTCAAGGACAGACGTAAGAATATCCTGAAAATTTGTCCTGGATGTCACAAAACAGAGTCATTCTCTTCTTTTCTCTCAGATGTTGTTGCATTAGCACTGGGCAAATCCGGCTCTGAACTGGAGCCCTCTGCCAGCACCCTTGTGGGCTTCCCATGTGAATCCCAAACAAGTGGACTTCAAAAAGATCATGGGCAATAGAATTAAAAGGTAAGTTTATTTTGGAAATGACAAAAAAAGAAGTCCAAGCATATGATGAGTCTTCAAAAGTTTTGTGGAAATGTGTATTATGAAAAAATTGTGCTTGGATTACGATTCTTTTTTTGCACCCAAATACTTGCTTTTTCTTTTTTTGACCATTTCACACATATACAGTTATTTTTGGTAATTAGTCATTCATATAATTTCTTTCAACGAAATAGTCCAATGGCAATGTAACATCTAAATATTTCCTGTGTGGTTACAAGATAATTAAGTTCATTTAGACTTTAAGCCATTTCCTCTCAACAGTTTATGCTCAGAAATAATTTTTTGCAGATTGCAATGCAAATAATTATACATTACTTTTTTTGTACTCTATTAGTTACCACAGATCAGAGAAAACATATGGTATTTGTCTTTTTGGGCCTGGCAAAAATCCTTGCTATATAATTACATTTTTCACAAACTTTTTGAAATATGATATACATGGACCAGTTAAAAAGTACAAGGACAGAAGTGACATCAATGGAAAATATAACTTTCTGCTCAATTTTTGCTATGAACCTAAAGCTATTATAAAACTGAAAGCTATTTATAAAAAGAGAAAAAGTGGGGAAACTTTGCAGTTTTTACTTGTCTTTGTCCCACTCACATCCCTGGTTCCACAATAATCCTTTGCTGCTCCTCCTTCTCCTTCTCCTTTAATGTTGTTTCAAAGGTTCACCTCTTAGTCCAGCCTCTGGAAGTGACCAGGGTGTTTCTTGTTTATTTGAGAGGCAGAGAGAGAGAGAGAGCATACACAAGCTCCTATTTGCTGATTGGCTTCCCAAATGCTCACAATGGAAGCCAAGAACCTGAGACTCAATCTCAGTCTCCCACGTGGGTGGCAGGAACCCAACTACTGGAGCCATCAAACAGGAAGCTGGAGTCAGAAGCCTGAGCCAGGATTCAAACCCAGGCACTCCAATGCAGGATATGGGTATCTCAACCACTAGGCCACTGCGGGGGGCTTCAATTGAAGAGGAAATGAGGCCGCTAAACCTTTGCCGTACTTCCATGTTCCAGTGACTCAGCGTTTCCAACAACCCAAGATGGCCCCTGGGGGAGGTACCTAGCCTGACAGGAGACTTCCGTACTCGTGAACAGTTTGTGTCCTCAGCTGTGATTGGCCCTTGAGGGCATGCCCGGCTCGTGTCCTGCCTTACCATTCAGCTGGTTGGCTCAGTTCCCTTGTGCCCTGGACAGCCCCCTTTCTGTGTCTATAAAAGCTTTCCCCCTCCCAATAAAGTCGAGAACCCAGCTGCGCCCTGGGCGTTGACTGATCTCCCAGCTCTGGTGGGGTTCCTTGGCCGCCTACACTCATCATCCTGCTTGGCCCCCGAGCTCCCCAGGCTGGCCCTGAGGAGCTCTATCGGACCTGCTGCCCCGTGATGAGCAGCAGGCCACCAACCCTCAGCCAGCAGGCTTGAAGCCTGCAATCACAGCATGGAACCCTAGACCCAATTTCCATGGAAGCAGAGCAGAGCTTACTCTCAAAAAGTGTGTTTGTTCTAACGCGTCTGGGATTCATGAAGTGTTGAAGCAAGGTACTTACCTTTGTTTTTACCTAACTCAAACAAGAAACAGAAATAAAAGGCATATAAACTGGAAAGGAAGAAATCAGTCT